TACTCTGAAGTCCTCCTCTTTCATTGTAGACGATGTAGAGGTAGAATAAATGACATTTTCTGTGATTTTTACTCGTTTGTCCTTTATTGATATATTACCATATACATTGATTGCCGTATTATTGATGCAATATTACCATATCCATGAACATGCCATTGAGCATTTACAACAGCCTTGTCCACTGCAAGCTTCATATCAGCAGCCTTATAGCATTTTTTTCGTATCTGTAAGCTTACAGGACGGCTCGTAATTTCACATCATTTTAATTGGGTTAAGTGAATTTACTATGGTAAAAAAGATAGTGAAAAACATACCTGAAACAGAAAGGAATGTTTCAGTGACAACCAACGTATCTTTTGGAGAAATAAATCATAGTTTAGGTCAATTACTTTTCATTCTATGATGCCTGGTGCACAATTCTATACATGACATGCTATGCACAATTTTGTGATGACCGATTATGCACTAATTTTTTGATAAGTGAAATTTTTTTTGCTGAGCAAGGAAAATGTGATCAATATTCTTTGTTTTTAATCAATTTTTTCGTAATTGGAGACTTTGATGGGAGACCCCATAATGAGGGAATTGGAGACCCCATAATGAGGGAAATGTGACTACCTAATGGCAGCCCTGATGGGGTAATATTGACTGGCTTGGAAATTAAGTTAAAATTACCATATATAAGACTCTGTAGAGTCTGAAACATAAAGAAAAAACATAAATAGGCTGTCAAATTTTTTTCAAAAAATTACGCAAACAAAAAAGTCTTAGAATTCTGTTTTACATATATGTACCAAGTTTCAAAGTTATCCGTTCGTAAATAACCAAGATAAAATTTGGGGTAGACGCTCCCCTTAACCTATTAGATATGCAAACTTTTCAAATCTTTCTATTATGTTATGTAGCCTCAGTATTAGGCCTTTAATGCCCATTGACAAAATTTGTCTATGTCAAATAGTTTTTGAGTTGTGGGGGTTTTTGTTAAAAAAATGAAAAGTGGTCTAAGTTACCCCGCCGGTCTAAGTTACCCCATTTTACAGTACTCTACTTATAGGACTCAAAAATGAACTTGAGGGCATGGTGGCAGGGAATTATTGTGAGTAATTATCGGTCCACCACCGTGCGGCGGTCTTAACCCTTCGCAAGGCGCATGCCCTTGGCCCTTGGGCCCCTCTTGCAAGTTGTCATGTCTAAACTCAACAGTTCAACCCCATGGTCTCATCACAACTCCCTTTAGAAATTTGTGGAGTTTTGAAATTAATATAAATAAATCAATAAATATTTGAACTGGTAAATTCCTTAGTTACTTACGCTGGTTCCAGAATGATATCAATGACGTAAAAAATGACAATGACATAGTCAACTGTCAAATTTGACATATTTTTTGATGATCTCACCACGTGGCATGCATTGTCTCTCTTTGGATCTCAATATTTTCCCACTAGATGGCCAAGACCTAGTGTTTTTGCAGTATTTCGGCATGCAAATGTATGACGTCACCATTTCAACCATCAATGAACGCATGGAACTAAAACAAAGCTTAATATAAAGGAAAAGCTGGAGAGGTGACGGAATTACCTACGATGTCGGAATATACCGCGTTTACCCCATTTGCAACACATTGCTTGCCAAAAAAATTATGATTCTTCTAGAAAATGGTTATGCTTTCCTTAGCAAGTTAGCATCCTTTCCATTCAAATGCAAAATTTTTATTCTGTTTATGCTTAATTATGCCATGTCCTGAATCATGAATGTTTTTTTTTTTTTTTGTAATTGCCCTACCCAAGCTGCAAATAAAAGCTAAGCATCTTAAAAATACCAGGGTGCAGACGGTGGAAGCAGCGTTGCCAATATATGGGTTTTTAAGCCCAAAGCGTCGCTGACCATTTTCAAGATGAAAGCCTCAGCCATGATTCTAGCTCTGCTCAGTCCTTACACTTTTACCTCGTAATTCATGATGTTAGAACTTCGATGTTCAAATGTTGACACTACTGTCAAGTGTCAATATCACAATCAAAATTATTTTACAATCAGAAATATGTTATAATATCACAATCAAAAATATTATTCACAAATAACCATCGATTTCAATGCAAAACTAGTCCCATCTTCACTGCTGTGGCCAGTGGCTTTGTTTACATATGGCTAGCGGTGACATCACACACAAGAACACGTGGTAGCTACATCGATTGTGACAAAACAAATGCAATATTTTGCTGCACCACAAACAAATAAATGTAAATAATTAGTAATGGAAAATGTGTTGCTGCAACATTTTGAGAGACTGTGCCTAAGCAGAATAATATATTGTTATTATTATTAAAACAAATGAAGCGACTGGTATGGAACTACCTTTCACTTCGGTGAAAGGTAGTTCCTTTCATTGCCACTGCTGGCACTAGCATCTGGATTTTGATGCATCAACTTGTTTAGTATTCAAACAATTTAATATCTATTTCTTACTGCACCACAAGTTAATACATTTAAATAATTAGTAATGGAAAATATGTTGCTGGAACACTTTGAGAGACCAGACGTAAACAGAATATGATATTATATTATTAGCAAAGATACTAAACAATAAAGTACCTAGTTCATTTGTTTGCCGCTGCTAGCGCTGGCATCTGTATCACTGTAGCGGGTGTAGCCTGTATATGAAGCTTCTATGGGTAATATTAATTCAGCATGAAATTATGGAGATACAACTTCTATGATTAATTTGAATCATAAAAATTAACCTAATGCAAGAAATTAGCAATCAATAATTCAACGTTGTTTTGTAAGTTTTGTACCAACGGAACTACTGAAAACTACATTAAATACGTATTGGCAACTTAAGCTAAAAAATGCACTGCAACTGCAATCAGCTGTGAGAGAAGGTGCCAGAAAGCGCAATGGATTCAATTTAGTCATTTTTGATTTGAAATCGGTCTCAGTTCTTTGGACTAGGAGCGTAAATTTCAGTGTAAAACCTATTAAAATTTTACGTTTCTGCATGGATTTTGATGCTGTTAGCATTGAAATACTTGACAGTATCTCTGATGCAAGAAATACTGGCTAAATACATTTTAATTTAGAAATTAATGTCAATCAAAAATTCAAAATTACTGTTGTTCAGGGCTATGTTGGTTCTTGCGAACCGATTGTTGCATCCAGTTGCTTATATTTAAGCAAGTATTTCTTGCATCAGAGATAATTCAAAGTTTGTTAATGTTAACAGCATTATAATCCATGCAGAAACGTACATTTTTTTATAGATATTGAAAATTTAGGCTCTATGACTTGTACCGTAAAATGAGGTTAGTTTGATCGGCGGGGTAACTTTGACCACTTTTTGTTTTTTTAACAACTCAAACCCCAAAACTCAAAAACGATTTGACATAGAAAAATTTTGTCAATGGCCATCAAAGGCCTAATACTGAGGCTATGTAACACAATAGAAAGATTTAAAAAGTTTGCATATCTAATAGGTTAAAAAATCAATAATGTGACCCACAAAAAAGAGCTACCTATTATTTAAAGCCTGTAGGAGTACCCCCTCCAATTTTTTTATTTTTTGGTAAAATAACTCCAGGTTTTGATGCATTGTAGTAGAACTCTTCTAGTTACATATGCAAAAGACAAATTTTAGGAAAGTGTCATAGTTTGCAAATGGGGGGCGCCACCCCCCAATGGGGGAACTTTGACCACCTAATGGCAGCCGTGATGGGGTAACATTGACCGGCTTGGAAATCAAGTTAAAATTACCATAGGTACCTATATAACATATTTTATGTTTGATACACCTATTAATGTTTTTTCTTTATGTTTCAGACTCTACAGAGTCTTATATATGGTAATTTTAACTTACTTTCCAAACCGGTCAATGTTACCCCATCACGGCTGCCATTAGGTGGTCACATTTCACCCATTGGGGGCAGTGCCCCCCATTTGCAAACTATGACACTTTCCTAAAATTTGTCATTTGCATATGTAACTAGAAGAGTTCTACTACAATGCACCAAAACCTGGAGTTATTTGGAGTTATTTTACCAAAAATAAAATTGATTTTACCACCCAGTCAAAGAAACCCCAGGAGCTGGGGTAACAAAGACCATCACTTTTTTTTTTAATTACATCAAAACTATGAGAGGCAGGAGCCAGCAATTTTTGGTGAGTAAAGCTTGAGTATAGACCTGTATTTTGCATGTTTCAATTTAAGTTTAACTTATCTAGTAAAAAAGTGGCATCATTTTGAAAAAGAAAGTGGTCAAAGTTACCCCATTTTACGGTATACCGGTACTATGTGTATAGGATTTCAAATCGATGCATGCGTTCAAATTTAAATAAGGCCCACCCACGGCCAGTGTAGCTGTCAGCTCACCCTCTTCAGAAGTGTGAAAGCTTTTGCCGGTGAAGGTGTGTTTTACGATTGGTTTATAAAGAAGCGTTGATCAGTTCAAAATGACATAAGACCAGGTTCTTTTGAATAACCTATAAAATTGCACCATGTACAAGGTTGCATGCACGTGTTACCCCAAATAACTAATTTTACCATAAAAACAGTCTGATTGTACAGCAAGTGTCAACTGAACATGTGATGATGCAGTCTGACCGCTCTAATGTAACCGCAACTACATTTGGTTTACATTTTTTTGGCAGGAACTCATCGCAACCAATTTCCGGACAAGCTTTACTGCATCCTGATCTATCCAACGTACCGGAAACCTTACTTTTTGTCTAAATAGTGTGCCAAAGATTGACAAATATATTAAATGCAAGAATTACAATCTAAATGTGTCGGCAAGATCTTCTGAAGGCATAAATTTTGTTACTGAAGCGTCACCAAAGATCTTGCAATATTCATCCATTCTCTGCACAGTAGCAAAAATACATTGAAGAGTTTAGATTTTTTCCATTTTTCAACACTGTGTGACTCAGTTGAAAATATTCCTCACTGTATGCTTATATTAAAATAAAATCTTCCCCTTTTAAATAATTTCCCAAATTTAAATAATCAGACACCTTCTAAATAAATTTAAGTATTTCTTCCATCTTTCTTAACTGTATGGCTCAGTTTAAGTTATTTTAGAAACAATCAAACAGAGGACCCTCCTCCTGAAGTCCTAAAATGCGCTCTACTCATACTCCAGGTATGATATTTGTTATGATATTGAGGCTTCATAATCTTTATTATAAATATATTTTCATGCAGAGAAAACTAGGACACACACAAGAAAAGGCTCTGCTCTCAGTGAATCAAAATAAATTAAGTAATAACATATATATTTACATATATACTGCATATATCTATACCATAGGTAGGTACAACATTTCGATATACTAATCATTAAATAATTCCTAAACTTCATGTTGTCTTCATAAATATTGAAAATAAATTGACTGTTCAAATTAAAAAATAATTGCTTTCATGGTTCATTCATAAGAACCTGGAATGTGTAGAATTTAATGAATGGATAAAGGTTTAAATTTGGATTGATATTATTTATCATGTATAGTTGACTCCCCTTTGTGTAATTTATCCTTGCATTAAAAGCTATTCATTATAAATTTCTGTAGATAACCATACCAGAGTCCAGTGCAGTGTTCAGCAACATACAGATTTGTATCATAAATTTGTGTTGGTATTACAGTTCTGATCATAATATAACTAAATTTGTGGAATTATATTTCTCCAGTATAATTTCCTAATTTCTTATATTGGACATTTGATTCCTGTCCAGCTTGTGTGTTGTGTTATTACACCTGACTTGTCATCATCAACTTATACTGCATCTAATCTGGTATTAAGTGCGATGTTGTCAATATTTGGTCTGCAGTTTTTATTGATTACAATTTCCCCCACCAGTGGCTGGTCCCAATGCCAGGACACCTCTGCTTCAGTCCACCATTGAGAACAATGATGTGGAGACCAGAGTTTACAAATCAAGATTTTATGTTCTTGGAGTATTTTCCCTATTTAGTTGTTTTTTGGTGAGTTAGATTGTATCCATATTATAATGTATACATATTATGTTTGGCACTAATTCCTCTTGAATTGATATTTTTTGTAAAATTTTTCTCATTTTACAACATTTTGAATGGCATACTTAGTTCTAGTTTGTGATTTTCTTGAAATAATCAGCCCTTTTTGAGGTCTAAACCATATTTATATACTAATGCAATTCAAAGTTTTTATAAAAGTGCATATTTCCATTATAGTTGTTAATATGTTATCAGTTCACCATTGTAACCTATTTCAAATTTTAGAATAGTTTTTGGCCAATTGATAATTCTTGCTTAACTTGTTTTAGACTTGGCAGTTCAATACATGGGGACCTATCAATGAGAGTATAGTGGTAGCCTACCCAGAGTGGTCATCTGCCACAGTTGCACTCATGCCCAACCTGACCACTGCAATATTTGTGGTGTTTGTGTGGCCCGTGTGCTGGCTGGTTGAGAAGCTAGGGCTGCGAGCTGCTATGCTGAGTGCCTGCTCCATCACCTCCGTTGCTCTAGCTCTGCGCTGTGCCAACCAAGACCCCACAACTTTCACTGTGTAGGTGTTACTTTATGGTAACGATCATACACTGATTGATTAAATGATTCTCATTTTAATTTTATTTTTTCATATAAGCCTATTTCAAGTGAAACTCCAATTATAGAAATTAGGTATTTCTTCAATAACTGTAGGAAATTCTAAAAATTTTATTCTATCTTTATCTTTACTACCAATTCTGGTTCTGCTGTGAAATAGTAGTTAAAATATCTCATTTTAGTCCAGGCTACTGTGTATCATACTCATTCTCATACATAAACTATTTTTAAGCACCTATTGTGTTATTTTACTTGTCATGTATGGTTAGGATTGTTGTGCTTAAATGTATTTGAGGTTTGGCTGTCATATTGCGCATGTTGTCAGCATCCCTACACGGAGTCACCAAGACCATTATGCATGCTGTGCTACCACTGCAACGACACGATGGTGACGAACGACACGATGCACTGCTTGCTGTGCTACAACTGCTTGCTGTGCTACCATACCACTGCATGTTACAGGTTATGCATGGTGTCAGCGTCGCTGCAGGGAGTCGCTATGACCATCATGCTGGCTGTGCCACCACTACTTGCAGTCGACTGGTTCCCTCCCCACGAGAGAGCTACATCCCAAGGTGCTCGTCTTTTAACTCACCGATTAAATTAAACTAACTCATTAAGTTTTTTTATATCATTAAATTGCGATTAAATTGAATAATTAAAGCATTGCTAGGATGATTGGGATATTTTTTTAATGGGCTTTTGGTAACATTGACTTAGGTAACTTAGTTTTCAGAATATGAAGATGTCAGCAAACGTTTTGACTAGATTTCAAAGCCTTTAAACCCATTTTTTCTGAAACAGCAGTTTACCTTCATGGAACTCTATTGTTTAGAAATATCATTATAAATTTAAGCCTGGTGCTCTGTGCTCATTGCTCATCATTTCAGCTATTGAACATGATTCCAAATTAAGCCTGCTATTAAATTGTACCTACATGAAGATAAGAAAAAAGCAGTGGGAATAACTAGCTAACTTAATATAGTAAATAATTGTCAGATATGAACTAGGCAAATGTGTCTCTGATCATGCCATCTAGTACGTATATATACCTATATACTATGTTGAAGTATACCATACGTACCTAGTATGCTTTGGTTTAAACTTTAATTTTATGAGTTAACTTTATATGTCATGGGGCAAACCAATTATTTGGTTCTTGACCTCAAATCTGGAAAATATTGCTGAGAATAAATGAGAGCTTCATTTTACAATAAATGAATATAACCATGTGCCAGTAGAGTCATATACCAATAAATGAATTGGACAGACTCGTATTAAAATATTGGGTGATAAGCTTTGGAAAACATTCCACCAGTGACAAGAATCTTTTATCATCGGTTAATTAAGAAGCTGAACTCCAGTATCTCCATCACTCGTAATACAATGCCTGTCATTAGAAATGTACCTAATCCTGCCGTCAAAAGTCTTTCCCAACATTGCTGCTCTTATGTCATCTTTCTTGAAAATGTTGAGGTAAATTTAAAGTTGTCTTTGCTTCTGTGAGATGCCTAATGACCTGACTAATGTACATCAGCTTGACAAATGTAACGTTCTGATTGTATTGCTCCAGGGCTGATGTTCGCCATGGAGCAGCTTGGCAAGTGTAACGTTCTGATTGTATTGCTCCAGGGCTGATGTTCGCCATGGAGCAGCTTGGCAAGTGTAACGTTCTGATTGTATTGCTCCAGGGCTGATGTTCGCCATGGAGCAGCTTGGCAAGTGTAACGTTCTGATTGTATTGCTCCAGGGCTGATGTTCGCCATGGAGCAGCTTGGCAAGTGTNTCATGTACATCAGTGAGTGGCACATCATGTACATCAGTGAGTGGCACATCATGTACATCAGTGAGTGGCACATCACCTCCCTCATGTACATCAGCTCTAGGTACTTCTCCACTCACTGTAATTGCACCATGAAATCACTGTAACATGTAATGCAGCAAGGTAACGTGTAATGTAACAATGTAATATGTAACGCCATAATATAGCATGTAACATGTAATGCAGTAAGGTAACGTGTAATGTAACAACGTAACCTGTAATGCCATAATGTAACCAGTGATATAACATGTAACATGTAACGAGCAGCCACGGCCGTGTGCTTGGCGCTGTCAGTGGCGGTGATCCTTTATTTCCCCGCCCGCCCTCCCGTGCCGCCCTCCGCTGTCGCCGCCGCTGACCGCACGCCCCTCCTGGAGGGCCTCAAGGGCCTCCTCAGGTAGTGCACTCCCTAGCCTCACCCCAGTCCAGGGCCTCACCCCAGTCCAGGCCCTCATCCCAGTCCAGGGCCTCACTCCAGTACAGGGCCTCACCCCAGTCCAGGGCCTCACCCCATTCCAGGGCCTCACCCCAGTCCAGGGCCTTACCCCAGTTCAGGGCCTCACCCCAGTCCAGGGCCTCACCCGTCAGGTCCCGGAGTGGGGACAGGTCCCGGAGTGGGGTCAGGTCCCGGAGTGGGGTCAGGTCCCGGAGTGGGGACAGGTCCCGGAGTGGGGTCAGAAGGGCCTCAGTCATACAGTACAGCACAGTTCACACGACCTCCTTAACAACGAAATATATTTCATTGAGAACATAAGTACCTCCTTTGACATCGTAAGAGACTAGGCTGCATCTAGAAAATGGATATGCATCCTAACACATCACCTAGAGTGTCTATTTTGTTGCGCTGAATTTATTTATTTATTTCTTATTTTCCATCACAAACCAACAGGCCATCAATCACACTTGCCATCTTCAATCACAACCATAGTTTCTACTTCCTCTGACAATCCATAATCATTGCGATGGTAGTGAGAGAGTTGTTATGGTAGTGACAGGGTTGTTATGGTAGTGGCAGCGCCGTGTTATGGTAGTGGCAGTGCCGTGTTATGGTAGTGACAGTGCCGTGTTATGGTAGTAGCAGTGCCGTGTTATGGTAGTGGCAGTGCCGTGTTATGGTACTGGCAGTGCCGTGTTGTGGTAGTGGCAGTGCCGTGTTATGGTAGTGGCAGTGTCGTGTTATGGTAATGGCAGTGCCGTGTTATGGTAGTGGCAGTGCCGTGTTATGGTAGTGGCAGTGCCGTGTTATGGTAGTGGCAGTGCCGTGTTATGGTGGTGGTAGTACCGTGTTATGGTAGTGGCAGTGCCGTGTTATGGTAACTGGCAGTGCTGTGTTATGGTAGTGGCAGTGCCGTGTTATGGTGGTGGCAGTGCCGTGTTATGGTAGTGGCAGTGCCGTGTTATGTCGGTGGTAGTGTCGTGTTATGGTAGTGGCAGTGCCGTGTTATGGTAGTGGCAGTGCCGTGTTATGGTGGTGGCAGTGCCGTGTTATGGTAGTGGCAGTGCCGTGTTATGGTAGTGGCAGTGCCGTGTTATGGTAGTGGCAGTGCCGTGTTATGGTAGTGGCAGTGCCGTGTTATGGTAGTGGCAGTGCCGTGGTATGGTGGTGGCAGTGCCATGTTATGGTAGTGGCAGTGCCATGTTATGGTGGCGGCAGTGCCGTGTTATGGTACTGGCAGTGCTGTGTTATGGTGGTGGCAGTGCCGTGTTATGGTGGTGGCAGTGCCGTGTTATGGTAGTGGCAGTGCCATGTCATGGTGGCGGCAGTGCCGTGTTATGGTACTGGCAGTGCCGTGTTATGGTGGTAGCAGTGCCGTGTTATGGTGGTGGCAGTGCCGTGTTATGGTGGTGGCAGTGCCGTGTTATGGTACTGGCAGCGCCGTGTTATGGTGGTGGCAGTGCCGTGTTATGGTACTGGCAGTGCCGTGTTATGGCTGTCTCTTATACACATCTAGATGTGTATAAGAGAGTGGCAGTGCCGTGTTATGGTGGTGGCAGTGCCGTGTTATGGTAGTGGTAGTGCTGTGTTATGGTAGTGACAGGGTTGTTATGGTAGTGGCAGTTCCGTGTTATGGTAGTGGCAGTGCCGTGTTATGGTAGTGGCAGTGCCGTGTTATGGTAGTGGCAATGCCGTGTTATGGTGGTGGCAGTGCCGTGTTATGGTACTGGCAGTGCCGTGTTATGGTGGTTGCAGTTCCGTGTTATGGTGGTTGCAGTGCCGTGTTATGGTAGTGGCAGTGCCGTGTTATGGTAGTGGCAGTGCCGTGTTATGGTAGTGGCAGCGCCGTGTTATGGTAGTGGCAGTGCCGTGTTATGGTCCTGGCAGTGCCGTGTTATGGTAGTGGCAGTGCCGTGTTATGGTAGTGGCAGTGCCGTGTTATGGTAGTGGCAGTGTCATAACATGTTTCATGCATACCACACTTACGTACCAATGCACGACATCTACGTGCCTATTTGCTCACCTTCATGTTCCACCTATACATCTTTCGTGCCCAACTTTCATCGTGCATTTGCTGCAGTCTCACTCACTTTATACCTCAAAACTGATCTCATTCTTCTCTCTTTAAAAGTACTCCATCCCATGTCCCCTCTCAGGGCCTCCGTCTGGGGCCTCCTAGTGTCAAGCTCGCCATTCTATTCTGTACCAATTGCAGTTTATCTAGCTCACCATCACTACATGCCATCACATGCAATCCATCCATAACACCTGGAACTGCCACACTCTTCCACACGTTCCTTTAATACTTCATACTCACTCACTCTCACGTTAATGGTAGTGTAGGTGACAGGATCGTCTTGTGACAGGGATGGTCAGGCGTGGTTGGTCATCGTAAGCTACTTATGATGACCTTACGATATTTACTTACAATGGCCTTACGATACTTATGATGACCTTACCTTACGATACTTACGATCACCTTACCTTACAAAAATTACTCAGGAAATTTGCAGGAGGTGACAGGATCGTTTTGTCACAGGGATGGTCAGGCGTGGGTGGCCATCGTAAGCTACTTATGACCTTACGATATTTACTTACAATGACCTTACGACACTTACAATGACCTTATGATACTTACGATGACCTTACCTTACGAAAATTGCTCACTCTCACGTTGATGATAGTGTAGGTGACAGGATCGTGTTGTCACAGGGACGGTCAGGCGTGGGTGGTCATCGTAAGCTACTTCCTGTACTCCGGTCCTGTGTTCGTATGGGTTGCGGTTCTCAACTACTCCCTCCAGCCCTTCAATGTACATCAGGTTAGCCTAAACTCTAATTTACGATCGAAAATTATTCCATGTTACTTTTTATACTAGACGTGCTAATTCATTCACATTTAAATATTAAAAACTAAGATTATTAATTTTTTCCCCGTCCTGCTGGTCTACGCGTTGGAGTTGATATATTTAACTTGATTCTATTCTTGGTTACCCACAATCTAGCTTTTGCGTGCATTTTTAGTGCATTTTCTCATTTATGGAAAAAATGCACTATTATGCTCGCCATGTCTGTCTGTCTGTCTGTCCGTCCGTCCGTGACCTCAAGTTTTCGTCGACGAGAAAATGCGCTCTCTGTCACTCACTGCAGTGAGTACTGAGTTATAGTATTTTTTTTACCTTAACTTGAGTCTATAAAACTTGGCGTTAGCGTGGCAGTTGTGACGAGTAAGCTTATTGTTATGTTGCTTATAATTTTACACCCCGCCAGCCAGAAGGACGAGTCCATCTGGCTGGCGGGGTGGGCGATCAGTTAAATGAGCTTAACTAAAGTCAAATGAGCCTAATAATAATAATAGCCCATCAGTTGAATAATAATGAGCTTCAACAACAAAAAATTTCACGGTTGTGAGCAGGACGAGTCGATGTGGCTGGCGGGGACGGCCATCGTGCTGTCGTCCTTCGCGTCGCTGCTGTCGGGCCGCTACACGGACGCCAACTGTGGCCGCCTTAGGTGGGGGCGTGAGGGTCAGAGAGACGTTGGGGCGTGTGAGGGCGCCTGAGAGGGGCATGTTTGGGCGCCTGAGAGGGGCATGTGAGGGCGGCTGAGAGGGGCGTGTTAGGGCGCCTGAGAGGGGCATGCGAGGGCGCCTGAGAGGGGCATGTGAGAGCGGCTGAGAGGGGCGTGTGAGGGCGCCTGCGAGGGGCGTGTAAGAGCGCCCGGAGGTGTCATCGGGAGTCTCCCTCCGTCAGAAAGCTGTGGCTGTTATAGCATCGAGCACTTCCAATGAAGCTGTTATTTCAATAAAGTATTTTCATGTTATCCCTTTACGCCCTGAATTTCTGGGATGAAAATCGTAAAATTCACTTTTTCGGTTTTAAGTCTCACTTTAAAGCTGACATTCTGACCTATCCAACGGTACCAAAATCGTCTCTGTACGTTGATTTATGCCTTGACGACAGTTCGTGAAAGGGTTAGGGGTGGGGTTGGACATTGCCATTGGAAATTGAAAATTTTATTTCGGTTACTTACCAACAGATAACTTTGAAACTTGGTACACATATGTAAAAAATAAATCTAAGACTTTTTTATTCCTGTGAATTTTTCGAAAAAATGACAGAAAACGTGAAATTGTTGGAAAACCGATGTTTTTTTCTGTGTGACGAATTCGTCACGCAAGGGCGTAAAGGGTTATATTACGAAGGCATCTATATTTTCTTTTTCTACGCACATGATCCGTTTTTGCATCGATTAGCTGACGCGTTTATAGCAAGATTCAGTTCCAAGTTCTCATATTTTGTCGGCGCGATGTTGCTAAATATTGTTATCCATAATCAGGAAGCCGATGTTTTGCTTTCCTCCAGACCTACGCTGCTGGTGCTGCTTCTCTCCACAAGTGCCTTCTTTTATTGGTTTCTCCTGCTTTCTGAGGGAGTCATTGCTTATACCAAGTGTGAGTTGAATCAAGCTACATTATATTACTTAGTTTCGAGTAACAATATTTTAAAAGACCAAGACCGCAGCTTTTTGCAGTTTCCCTTTAGGAGAGCTTATGACGTATGAGTGCTCCTTCTAATTAGAACTTATTATTGCTGTTCCACTTTTTTCAATGCTAAGTTTCTACCCTAATTAATTGGCTTGCGAAAGTATCTAACGTCCTACAATCTCTATCCCTTTTGATTGTGTGCCACTACCCGCTGCCATGAGCAGTTAGTACTTTGCCTACCAACGTAATTCGCGTTAGCCTTGCCGTAATCTGCTACAGCATTCATGATTAATTTATCCGTTACCATGCCTTGAGATGCAATAGCATTAATCAATATATCCGGTACAAAAACACGTCCGCCTCTACTGACGTTAACAGCTTTCGCCAGATTTCGATACCAACATCATTGATGATTATGTATCTGTAGTAAAGGCCCGAATGAACGCTGGAGGTTTCTTCACGTGATATACGACAGGGCAAGTGTACGTGAGCGTGGTGTGCGGCATCTCGTGCCACATGGCGTGCGTGCCCGTGTTCTACGAGCTAACGTGATATACGTGACATACGACAGGGCAAGTGTACGTGAGCGTGGTGTGCGGCATCTCGTGCCACATGGCGTGCGTGCCCGTGTTCTACGAGCTCACGCAGGAGCTCACCTTCCCGTGCCCTGAAGTCGTGGTCGGCGGAGTCGTCGCGTTCGCGGACAGCGTCTCTGCGTCGGTCTTCCTTTTCGGTTACCAGTTCACCAAGACCAGTAAGTATTCTTGGTATCATTAGCATACATAATAACATTTGGTATTCTTGGTATCCTTAGTATCATTAGTAACATTAGTTTGTGTTTCAGGGGTAGCATTAGTAAACGTCCACATGTTTTGAAATGAACCATACCTCTTGGGTTGCCAGTTCAGAATGGTCTTTCTGGTCAGAAAATTTTTGGAGCTCTGTCATGATCCCTCATATAGTCATATCTGATATCTTCCTTACCATGACAGCTTTCATGCAAGTTTATTTCAATTGTATGGAGGAATCGCCAGTTTATCAACGAAACTATACACAAGTTTCTCAACTCTTTGCCAAACAAAAAACAATTTACGTCACTGTTATCAAATGTTATTTTTTGGTGGGTTCACGCTGTAGTTGCAGATGGTAGTTGTATTTTTTTTCTAAAGACTTCTTGTATATAACATGAGTGGCATTTGAATTGACTGTGCAATATACTGTAAATGTGATGATGTTCTCAGACTTCGGTTGGGTGCCCTACGTGCTGGTGCTGTCCAACGCGGTGACGGTGTTGCCGCTTCTCCTCGTCAAGGTCGAGTACTCGCGCTCAGAGCTCGACTCCCGCGGTCCTGGCGCTGTAGACGACACAACTTCATCCAACTACCTCTACGGCAGCATGGATACCTGCAGTTCTAACAGTGTACAGTCGTAGCATCTGCCTTGTACACGTAGAAACACTTCCTCCAACTGCCTCTACGGTAGCATGGATACCTGCAGTTCAAACAGTGTTGAGTCGTAATTATCTGCCTTGTACACGTAGAAACACCCGAGTTCGGTCCATGCGACCATGCATCATCAATTTCATCATGAATTTCTACATCTGGTCCCGTCTGATGGGAACCGTTCAGTATCTCCCTGAATTGCTTCTTTTATCTGCCACGCATCCAAGTCCTGGGTTATACCAAGCCGTTGATGAGTTGTAGCGATCATACTTTCCTTTCTTTGAATTTCTTTGCCGTTGTTTCTTCCTAAAAGAAAAACTGTGCAAAATATTTTAATTTGTCGTTCTTCAATGTCGAGAACATTTGATTTTAGCAACATTAAATGTCATGTCACCACGAATTGTAAGCGTTGGTGCGCTGCCTAAAGCACCAAGTCTGAAGTATAATGTACAGTCTTTATTGTGCTGATCATGGTTAGATCAAGTTATACAAGCGTGCTGAAGGTGAACAAGAGCTGGTTAACCAGCGTTTTGTTAAACTTAACTGCATTTAGCATTTATGTCTTTATCAGTCATTAACACCGCAGGGTACATGCATTATATTTATTTTCTCGTGCTCAATCTTGTACTTAGTTCAAACTATCTAGGATTATCACTTAAATCTTTGGGTTGTTATGGTAATCCTAGAAACTGTGCTCCAGTATATTGTTTTCCTCCTTATTTATCTGCATCTTATGTGCAAGTTCTATGGCTATATACTGTGTAATCTTATTAAATTGTCGTCATCTCAGCCGTTTAAGGCACCAAGAGAGGCGTTGAATCTTGCTCAAGGCTTGCTCTTCAGGCTAAAAATAATGAATTTCGGTTTGATTTTTAACAGGAGTCAAGATTTATTCTTGTAAGCATTAGAGTTCGCAGCTTGATCAAAAAAGATTTATGAGAATAACAAATTTAAAGCCAATGATGATCAAAAGAGATAAATGCAAAGCTGATTTCTTGAGTCACTATCTTGTCTGTTGGAGAATATCATCACAAGCAACTCCTGGATCGGTAAATTTGGTGAGACTCAAGCAAATTTCGCTTGTCCTTTATCGATATCCAGATACTGAGATGTGATATTATGTATATCTAATAACTTAGCAATACTGTATCGAGAGTATCGTGTTTCACTCTTCTCTGCCACTAGTCGAGTCCATTAAAATAGGATTGAATAAATGTCATTTTGTCTATACGACTTTAAAAGCATTTTGACGGACGTTAGAATGAGCCCAACGTTAAACGAAACTAGCGCAGTTGTTTGTTGTTATGGCCTTTCTGCTGGGATAGCTGAGAGCGGCGCAGTTGTATGTTGTGGCTCCCGTCGTAACTCTTATGTTGTGTTTGCTAATTGATTAATTCGAACGAAATTAGACATTCTCAGGCATTATAAAGTGATCATCAGGAATATAAGTGGCCCAGAAAGTGTATTATTTATTTGTTGTCCGTCTTCAGTTGAATTGTAGCAATAATTACCAATAATTTATTTCACGTCTATTCTCGTTGTAATGTTGTAATGGAATGCAAGGTTGTACGTTAACGTGCACCACTGAGGAGTTGAAAGTGATGCCGTGGCCCCAGGCTCAGCTGCCCCGCGTCCTGAGCTTCGCGCTGTTGGTCTCCTGACTGTGTGGCAAAAGAGTTGGGTTTTTGTGTGATGAATTCATGATTTTGAATTTATTCATGATGACTAACATTCATTTATTTTGTCAATCTGCGCATTTCTAAGCATTTCATTTCTATCGATTAGACGAATACCTCGTTGCCCACAAGTGCCTTCTTTATTAAGACACATTGTATAAAGCCGTTTGTAAACTTGTCATTTGGTGAAACACATTAATTGTTTTGCTGGACCGCAAAGACAATTGACTGACATTATGTAGCTGGTAGTTTGATGAAGCACAATGAGTGTGAGGACGTATCTGAACATTAGTAATTCCTCACATGAAAGAAAATACTGAAGAAGATCAGTAAACTTAATTGGACCGATAACAAGTGGCTGTTACATGAAACTATGTACCTCTGCACAATAAGCATGGCTGTCTCATATTCATTTATGCTGAAAGCATTTGTAGCTATCGTGATGTATCGCGCTGCGGCGGTCAGCTCAATAAGCAGGACTGTCTATTGTATGCACTTTGCTGTGTAAGTTTACAAGAAACTAATCGATAATATTGTAAAGTATGTGCAATTCAATTAATGTGTTGAGAATTATATGTCAGTTTATGGATGATACTGATACGCAAGTTATTGGTGATTAAGAACAATCATGTATTTACTGTTGAAAATGTTGATATTTACATTACATTTTATTGTCCGTGTCAGCAAGATTGTAATGTACGAAATAGCATTTTTATAATATTATTGTCCTCGTCGCCAGTTATTTGTTATTTTTTTTATTTATTCCAGTTATTTTCAGTGTTGCAGACGCCAAAATTTCAGTGTCTTAAGTTACGTCAGACGTATGACTCGTATATGTAATATTATTTATAACCCATTAAGCTAATAGCGCCATGATCGTATAGTCAGTTATGATCAGGGGACGAGCTTAAGTCAGCTCCCACATGATGAACTTTGTTCCTCACTACTTAATTTATTATTTAATATCGTACAAACTTTTGCTGTAAGGTTGCGGAATAAATATATTCTTTACAATACTTGTTCGTATATTACAGTTCATATATTTAATACCATATCAAACAATAACGTATTTAATGTTACGATAGATCACATGCACAATAATTATGTACAGTACAGTGGGGAAGAAAAAAGGACCACGGGCCATACTTTCAAAACTCGCCAAGTGAACGTAAGTACTTACACACTATTTTCTTGTCTATGATTGGTGGATTTTGCTTGAAAGGCCGTCAATAATTGACTGATAAACTTACGATGGCTTAACTTTTTTTGAAAGTATAGGCCCCAGTTAACTGCACTGTATCGTGAACTGTTGGCTGCTGCTCCCGCCCTGCTTCGCTCCGTCATTTAGGCTGGCATGAATTGCTTTGAGGTATATAAGGCTCCCTATTTTGCATATGATGTCACGCCAGACAATGTCATGGCGGATGAAGCACCAATTAAGCTTGTTGTATTATTAATAATGTTGAGGTTGTTGACTAATTTTGTCCCCGCGATGTCTTGTAAGTTGCTCGGAGCCAGAAGCTTGTACCTGATTTCCATCTTTTGGACCGCTCTGTCTTTCAGTCCGCCAACTGAACTGAAACGCGCATTTTTTGTTGACAAGCTGCATGAAAATTGGTTTGTACGCGCTGTAAGTTGAGGTTTTTGTAATATAAGTACCATTTCTACGACGTGATATTACTTCCTTAAGAAAATGTGTATTAGTAATTTAGTCACTGACGCTATCCGTGTACGAGTAACCAGGAACGTGAGGAGGCCAAAGCCTCGTTTGTCCCGCTCTATCGCCGCAGGTACTTGATATGAAACTATCGTGATGGTTTTCGCTCATTTGTAAGTAATATCGTGCACTTATTCATCAGTTTCGACCTGACTTACTTCGTTTGTAAAACTTCTGCAGCTTCCACACTCGTTACGTTCGGCACCGTAACGAAATCGAACTTGAAGCTTCTTTGATCATCACATCTCTCTTTTTATTTAACTCATCTTAATTCGCCTTCGGCCTCGTGACTGGTGATTATTATTTATATCAGGATAACTATTATAATAACATTGTTAAGCTTATTATTAGTTTATATCAGCATGCGTCGTTTGACGAGGAATTAATTGGTGAAGGTCTAATGTTTAACAATCTGCGCAACAATTAACGTTGAAAATATCCTCAGATGAGTAGGCTAGCTATATGCGGCCCTAACATCCTTGTGTTGCCTTCATGTATCTTCTGCTGAGTTATATGAAGTGATATTTCATAATAATGAATAGGAATTGTGTTCGCATTTCTGGCGCACACCTTCACTTAATATTGATAATATTATCTGTTCCTAATACCAGAAAATAATTGCTACGCTACTACTTCCGAACGTTAAGAATAAGTGTGCAGTTTTTAAGTCAATTACCCTGAATTTCAAGCTCCTTCACACTATCGGTTGGCATTGCACAGACGACTCGTGTCAGAACATTTTAAGCTGCAAATTAAACTTATTCTAAATTTCATTTTACATTGTCACTGCGATTGCATTTCAATGTTATTCTAACATTGCCTTTGATTCTTCAAGACGTATAAAGCAAAAGTTAGAATGTAAATTTTTAATTGTCTCTGCGAACAATAGATTGTTTGATATTTTAATCCTATAAATACTTATTGAGTGTGCAGACACGGCAGCGAATAATCGAGTGTGTTGTGTGCGTCTTGAGGTCAGTAATTTTCCAATAGGTCCCCCGCGATTTCCCTCCAATTGTTCAGCCTAATTAAGGCTACAGCTCTCATCATTCATCACCGTGCGCCCACCTGCTGACTGATATAATTTTTTTTTCCGATTGACTGAATTACGGAAGATTCCATCATTCATATTCAGTCAGTCTGTTACACCTGCCGAACGAGAGTACTCGGGTCAAGTCGGTTGGTATATAACCCCGTTTGTTTTATTACTTCAAGTGATGCTGGCCTCAGTCTTCCGGGTCTACTCGATGTAAATCATGGAGTTCTATATACTCGGATGGTAGCTCCGGAGCCTCATTCAACTTATGAGTTTTTGGTGCCACGTGATGAAGGTGCCCCGATAAATGTGATATTATTTCTTGGTCTGATTGAAACATGCTTAACAAATTTTTCCATGTTAGTGAGTAAATTATAAGAATTTTCGATCGTTTTATTAGAAATAAGTGTCAACCAATCCTGACCTTATCTTTTATTCAGAAGTTTGAGGAGCCAGCACAATCAAGCTTAGCAGTTCCTTTTCAGTATCTCCACAGTGCGGCTGGAATTAAGTTTCCAGCCGTCCAGTTTCCCAATAAACCTTCAAGCCACGGTGTTCACATACTCTTTGGGATGACAATTGCATAGAACTGTTAACGCGTAAAAAGAACTGTTAAATTGCAAAAAGCAGCTCTCCCCTATCGAATGTAGCTGCACCTGCACACTATTTTTTAGGCTGACATTCGTTGTACATCACCGAATGTCAGACAGAATTAGCACTTCAGTAACAGCAGTAATTCTAACGTGGCAACAACTAAAATCAGATCATCGACTTCATATGGTGTTTGTTTTGACGATTTCAAAATTTCAGCGAGCAAAATTTTGTTCGGGTCGCCTAGGCGGCGCTCCCTGGCTTCCGCGGTCTCGGATAGTACCGGAATTGTTCTATTGATGATAATATGGTAATAGCAGCGTCACTTAGCGTCTATCAGGCCGTCAGACTTGCCGCCGATTTTGAACATTATAAATATTTATTTGCTTGTTGCGGGTCTCGAACATGAATTCACTGGAACAATTTTGTTGTGCTTAACCGCCCGGCCTCCTCGCCGATTGACCAGAACTGTCGCAAGTAGCTGGAATCGAACCCGCAACTCCCTGCCCCAGTCATGGGTACTCTGAACTGTACATAACCACTGGGCCACCCTGCCTGTCCTCTCGTTGTGGACTGCCATGACAAGTCAAGATGAAAGGTGACATCTTGACCGCAGCGAGCGTCCCAATAACTGGCGATAGATTATTAATTTTCCTTTGCCTTTTACAATGAAAAATAAAAAAACAATTACTCGTGTGGGCGTTTTGATCCTCCCGCTTGTGCATCAAGTACAACGGTCAGTGGATAAATGAGAAAAAGAAAGTCCTTGGTACTCAAAATTATTAGGTCTGAAATTAAATAGTTAGTGTATGGGCAGATGTGTACATGGGTAGAATGCTCTTTGAAAACTAAATCACAAAGCAAATAACAATTATTAAGCGATCTCATGAAAGTGTAAAAGTGTTCGTGAGAGCTCGCAAGGTTTAGCTGGAGCGAGGATAACAACAGTCCATAATTCCTATTTGGGATAGTTCTTACAATTCTGAAGCAGAACGCAACAAAATGACCAGGAAATAGATTGAGTTTCACACACGATTGATGAAATGCTGAGAAGTTTTACGAAATTGGCTGACAGCTGATAAAATGTGCTTTAAAACAATATTGTTGGGATAGAGTCTCGAGACCACCAAGAAAGAGACTGCTGACCGCGACTCGTTCGATACGCTTCATCACTCACATGTTGCTGTAAGCCAATTATTTTTATGGTGAGAAAATATCTGGCTACAACAATCTGTACTTCGCATTTGTTCGTGCTGCATCTGAGTTTATGCTGCAAACGGTAGATTTGGTGGAAGGGAGTTGCTGCAATACTCAACACAAAAATAGTAAACATCTAAATAAAATAAGATACGGGCAATATTATTTCATGAATGTATTCCGCGATAACTCATGATTTAAAATTCGCATGTGTCTTTTAATTTTTAACATATTGTAACTGAAATCAGCTCTACGGAAAAGTACGAAGGGTCCGTATTCATTCATCTGTTTCATTGAAGCGCTTACATATGAATTCAGACTCAACAGGCTATAATGTGCCCAAAAGGTCGAGTTGAGGCATAACTTCACTGACAACCACAGAATTGGCTTTGGTGCGCTGACGCTGAGTCGCTGAGCGCTGACTGGACAGAGACTGGCAGCAGGCAGACTGCTTACTGCTCCAGTTGCCTTGAGTCTGTGGAGGAGAGAGGTTACGACAGAAATAGTCTCCTAAATCCAGTGTTGAAATAGACGACGTAAGAGGTAAATCTGAAATAATTAATTTCGAGATGTATTTAGTCATCAACTTACTATCGCAATTATATTGTTGTGAACCAGCTTGATACATATTAAGACTTATTAACTTGGCTTAGGCTGTTTGCCCATTTCGAATGTTAGCTTTGGCATTGTTTCGAGTGAAAATCTGTATTGGGAATGAACTGTGAGTTTTTGTATAAACGTTTACGTCATTCTTATTTGTTATATTATCGCTGGTGTATGCATGGTACCATAAAACAATGTAATTACAGTGATAATATATCTGGCAGCTTAAATTCCCGCTTAGATTTCAAAATGAAGTTTTGATGATAACCACGCAACTCGATTGTGTAATCATTGCATTGCATGGCGGGCTATGCTCGAAAAGTCTTGTAGCTAGTTGCAGTGTTCCCTGCATGTTCCATATAGGTCCTGGTTTTATGCTACGGATTGGCGGTAGATGTTTTATTTCAAAAAAATTTCGATTCATTTTCAATGCTCCTTCCTTATGTTATTAACATGTTTATTTCGCGTACGGTAGTCATTTGAAGCTTGACAAGTTGACAATGACAAATTCTTCCATATTTCACGTATGATAGTTTTACATTATTGCAGTTTAAACAAGTAAATATTTCATGCGGCAAACAGAATATTGTCAAATACACATATATAAGCTGCCCGTTTTTGTGCTATGAAATGGCCTAATTCACAGTCTATTAGAGTTGAATTGACAGTTATTTTTCATGACGAACTTAATTTTTGCTCATTGCCTATTTTGACCGTGAACTTCTTTTTATCTTATTATGATAAATTATATCATATAAAGCATACCGGTATTATAGAAGTATTACCGTATATAATAATGTATTTACTTATTACGAGCATAACATATTACTCCGTTAATTACATGCATACGAGTGACAAGTCAGAACATAGACTGTTTTCTAAGCATAACTTGCCACAGTATTTGTAGTGACTGCATTTGGTACGGCACGTAAGCAAGCAGGGTTCAGAGGCGGCTGCGAACGCCACGTTTTGAGGCATGTGCCCAGGCGGATGCACTATATATAACCTGGACGGCCTTAGTGATGTTGAAACACTCGAGTCTGTAACAGAATTGTTTATAGTATGAGTGCAAAACCTTCGTTTCTCAAAGGCAAATAGGATTTTCATGTGAATAAATCAGTGATAATCATAATATCATCTATTTGCCATTGACATGTCACATGTCCTCTGCAAAAATTTATAAAGTTGTAGCTTCCTCAGCTTTTGAAGTGTAACGGAAAAAAATTTGAATATATAGTTCAGTAAAATATGGTTGTAGAAGCTTTCTCAATGGAAAAATAAACACTTGTATTGTAAGTGATTGATAATAACGAGATTAACACAATCAGAGTGAATTAAAATTGACTGAATGTTATTCTATGAAAATAATTCCCCATTGTCGATGGGCTTTCAGCTGATGTTTTAATGCTTAAACTTAGTTTACATTAGCATGAGTTTACATAAGCATTATTTAAAATATTTCAATTTTGAAGATAATAGTTTATATTTCTATTAGTCGAGGTTCTTTCCTGATGGCGCGGTTTCACAGCAGTGGGAACGATGTTGAATGGCATCAGGAACGCAGTCTTGAGCTACCTAGTAAGGGAAACAGTTGTTTGCTTGAAAGGATTGCAACATTTGCGAAGTAAGGATTGCAGTTGTAAGACCATATGAATTGAAGTTGTGAGACTGTTAGGACAGTCACAGCTGTGAGTGTGTTACAGTAAAAATTGCAGTTGTGTGGCAATGACATTTGCAGTTGTGAGACTGTAGGGACCACGCTGTTCAGTAGAGAGAATTGCAGTTGTAAAACTGTAATGATGTTGATCATCGATGGCAGCCATGTAAGATTCCATGCAGCAGGGCAGACGAAACGCGCCCGTCTACCCGAGACCCGTCCACCGGACGCTGAGGCACGACAGAATACGCCCGTCTATCCGAGACCCGTCCACCGGACGCTGAGGCACGACAGAATACGCCCGTCTACCCGAGACCCGTCCACCGGACGCTGAGGCATGACGGAACGCGCCCGTCTACCCGAGACCCGTCCACCGGACGCTGAGGCATGACGGGACGCGCCCGTCGACCGGATGCTGTGGTGCCTTGCTTGTTCCCCGCGAGGCTCAGTTTCTATTTACCGCCTTCGCAAAATGCAGGGGGCAAGAGATGGGATAGTAGCAGAAAATACGGTGTGTGTCCACCCTCGTGGTTGAACATGATACCGCGTCTATTAAAAATACGTTAATATTCAGGCTTATTGTGGGAATTTATGTGATTACGTGTGTCGTGAACGCACGCCTCTGAGGAACAATGATTTCTTTTGCATCTATAGTTATCAGATGTGCGCCAGTTATAGTTGCAGCCCCTTGTTTATACCTTGGAGGTGCCATGCTACGTGAACCCTTGTGCTTGGCTTGGCATGCACTACACCAGTGGTTCCCGAAGTGGGCGATATCGCACCCCTAGGGCGGTGGAAAGATTTTGGGGGGCAGTAAGGAAGAAGAGGGTGATAGGGGGGCGGCAGTACGAAGTCGAAGTCAAAAGTTCGAGCGTTTGTTTGACAATTTGTACACAACACGTGCAGCACATGACTCCCATCGATGGTTTTTTCACCCAGATCTGTTTTTTTTTTAATCTCTCCTGGGTTTACGTCTCGAACAAATTAACGGCCGGACTCGCGGCCGCGGTGTCTCGGCCAATTTACGAATTCAATGATCAAGGAATACCTCCCAAACTAATGAACTTAACTCATTGAAACTTGGTACACGTATTCATTAGGACCTAACGGTAATGTTTAGTTCGTGAACATTTTTTGCATTTTGCCTTCATTTGTGAGTTATATGGCAATACGGTCCGAAATTCACAGTGATCAAGGAATTTCTTCCAAACTAATGAACAGATTCGAATTAAATTTAGAATTTACGGCCCTAACTACCGAACGGTAATGTTTAGCTCGTGAAAATTTTTTCGATTTTGCCTTCGTTCGCGAGTTTTTTTTCTATTTCACCTTCATTCGTGATTTAAACAGCAATACGTGCTTAAATTCGCAGTAATCAAGAAATGTCTTCCTAACTACTGAACAGATTTGAACGAAACATAATATTTGAATACCTGACCTCAGCAACGGTGATGTTTAGCTCGTTACAATTTTTTCGATTTTGCCTTCGTTTGCGAGTTATACGGCTATACGTAAACGGCTCTTGGTTAAACCGGCCGGTATAAAAGCCGGTCGTTCCTCCTATATCTGTATTACTCGATAACAAAAGCAAAATATAAAAATTGTCACGATCTAAACATCACCGTTGGGAGGTTAGGTATTTATGTACAAAGTTTCGTTGAAATCTGTTGAGTATTTTAGATAAATTTCTTGATCGCCGCGAATATAAGCGACAAATTACCCGGCGATACGGGCTGAATATAAGGAAGTGTGAAATCAAGAATGACGGTGAAATAAAAAAAAATACTCGCAAACGAAGGCAAAATTGAAAATTTTTGAAATTTAAACAAAAAAATAAAATCTCCGTTTGGTAGTTAGGAGTGTGTATTCAAAATTTTGTTCGAATCTGTTCAGTATATAGTTAGGAAGAAATTCTTTGATCACTGCGAATTTCGGCCTGTATCGCAATATAACTCACGAATGAAGGTGAAATTCAAAAAATTTTCACGTGCTAAACATCACCGTTAGGTTCTGGTGAATACATGTTCCAAGTTTCATTGATATTCGTTCATTAGTTTGGGAGATATTCCCTGATCACTGAATTTGGAGATTGACCGTGAGACCGGCCACGAGTCCGACCGTAAATTTGCCCGAGAAGTCCTAGGTTTCTAGTGTTGAAACAGTAAAAAACAGCTGAAAAACATATTGGTTTACTAAATGGGGTTCTATTTGTGAAATGCACATTTGTGTTTAACTTTTATCTTTTAAAATTGTAGCGTACTAAATTTCAAGAAAGAGGCGTATGTTTTTATATGTGTCTGTGGGGGACGCCAGAAATTCAGTATGGAGCCAAAGGGGGCGCCAGCCTGAAAAAGTTTGGGAACCACTGCACTGCACTGTCCGAGAAAGAAACGGTCAGACCGGCGTTTTAGTGGCCGACTGTCCCGTGAAATTTGACTACCATGGTTCGGATTTCATACGTTAATTAAAAAAAAAATGTTCACGATGCGGCCGGTCGCTAAAACGTCGTTCCGACCATTTTTTATCAGTGCTCGCTGTAGCTGCACGCAACACGTGAGGTCCTTTGCTACATGCGCAACTCACGGAGTGCCGCACCGGAACTCCTCCCAGCCAAGCACTCTGTTAAATGTAACAAGCATCACTAATATTTGCAAGTTTTGTTGCTTCTGGGAGTGTTAATTCTACTGTCTCTTGAAGTTGAAACATTTTGGCATGAAATAAAATTTTAGGGTAATAAAATATTCATCGATTATTCTTAAAATTATATTCATTCTACCAAGAAATTATCAAGACATTTTGTAAGAAACATCGATAGCAAATTAAATACTAAGGAAACTATGAATAAGTTTCAAGGCGAGCGGAAAATGAGATACGAAGAAGCAAAAGAACTAATTAAAACAGCTATATGGACCGCATTCAATAGATCTTCGAGTAAGTTAAGTCACGATAAATCTTGAGCTCATCAATCCACTTCCCCTCGCAGCAGCAGCAGCCGACGCAGTGGTTTTAGTTTAGAAGAGGATTCATTTTGACTTTAAACTGCAGGAGGAATTTTATAAAACTGTCACAGATTTTTATAAACTGTTCTGGGTTGAAGTTACGATGTTAAAGATAAAATTATAGTATTCACTGAACTATCTGCATGGAAATGAAGAAAATCAAATCACTTCTCAAGCTGATCTGTGATTTGAAAATGGCCATATACTGACGAGTTTATAACATTAGTTCTAAGGCATTCATTCATCACTCTGGAGACCGAACTGTGTATCATTGAGTTAACACA